CTTATGGCTGATACAGATCTTATCTAGTGTCCCGGAACTAACAAGCATCTTTATCTATTTACTCACATTCACAGTTGGGGCTAGGGGAGTTTTATGATTACGGAGTTATGCAGTCCCACAGAATATTATTTAATATTTCTAAAGAGTAAAGATTTAAAAAATAATGTGTTTCATTGATAATGATTTAAAGGATTAAAAATGAAATATAATAGAGGTCAAGCTGTAAAAAATTTGAATATATTTTCATCAAGAAGACAAAATACAGGAAAGATAAAAGTATAAAAATTACAAGTATTTTTCACATGATTTAAGGTCAATTTCCTTAATCCTGGTGTTGAGCACATGCCCTCCCCATTGCCTGGGGAGCTGAGGTGGGGAATCACTTGTGCCCAGGAGTTGCCAGCCGATCTGGGCAGCCCTTGGGGTCGGTGGACTGAGGGGAGGCTCAGTCAGGTGAGGTTCCCAAAGAAAAGAACACTGGTGGAACAGACATCACAAAAAAGCAAGAACCAACTTAATTTTCCAGCACAGCACTTACAGCACTTACTTTTTTTTATTAGTTTACTGAGAGGTAGCAAGACAAAACATTCTGGGTGACCCTGCAGGCCATGTGGCGCATGTGTGGTTGTCTATGCTGATTCATTTTAATATAACGAAGCCCCATCGTGTGCCTGCGCTAAATGACTGCATTGTGTCCTAAGGTGCCCTCAGATGCCTTCAGATGACTGAGTTTTGACAGCAGCAAAGCAATACCTTGACCCAAAAGAAAAGGAGAGAGAAGAGAAAAGAGAAGGGTAAGGGGGAAAGGGAAAGTTAACTTCCTTTTTTTTAAAAAAAAAAAAAAAAAAAAGGAGAAAAGGTTTATTTGGCTTACAGTTTCTGAGGTGTCAGTCCTTTATCAGCTGGTTACAAGGCAGAATATCATGGAGGAAGAAAGCTTCTCATCTCATGACATTTAAGTGTTTTTCCCACTCTCAGATGGGGAAACTAAAATTTTTGTGCTTGTGTGGTACAAAATAAGCAGAGAAAGATGCAGAGAGAAGAAATGTCCAGGGACCAGGCATATCCTTCAAAAATATTCCCCCAGTGACCTACTTCTTCCAAATAGGCCCCATTCCTGACTCATTCACCTATAAACTTTTTAATGTTTTCATGGTCTAATCATCTCTCTAGGCCTTGCTCTTCTACCCTCCAAAGAGTTACATAGACTTGATGAGGAACGAGAAAGATTTATGTGGAGGACTTAAATTATGAACTGTAAGCATCTGCTTCAAAAGAAAATTCCTTCCATTGAATCATTTTTCAGCTTAAAGGATAAAAATAATCTTTACTAAAAATATTAACACACACACACAATGGTTATGTTAACTACTTTGGTAGTGGTAATCATTTCACTGCATATATGTGTGTGTGTGTGTGTATCAAATCATGCTGTATATCTTGAATATATATATTTATTTATTAATTATTTTAAAGTATATCTAACAACTCTATAACCATTTCAATGCTACCTTTTCCCTTTTCCTTCGTTTTCTCCTTCTTTCTTATTTTTTTTTCTTTTCTTTAAGTTTATTGGTACATTTTAGGTATACAGTACAGTTACATTCATCATTGGGATCTTGTACCTTTACACGATGTATCTTGGTTCTTATAAAAGTTAACATTCTTAAAAAAATTTTACCCACAAAATTAAAAGACAAAATTCAAATTACAATTAATGAACATCTAAATTTTAAATGAACGTTCTTTAAATAAACTCACAATATTTACTCTTTAAAAATGTAGGTACATTTTAGCAAAAATATTATGGAAGTAAAAATATTAACAAGTGTAATGTTTAATACCCATGTGTTGTCAATATAATTAATAGACGATTTTATAATACTTATTTTTAGACCTATACATGAACAAGTCTAACCAAAATACAAGCTGTTTAACTCTTCTTTCTTTCTTTCTTCTCTTTTCTTTTTTCCTTCCTCACTTTTTTTCCTCTTTTTTCTCTCTTCTTCTTCCTCTTCCTCTCTCTCTCTCTCTCCCTCCCTCTCTCTCTCTCTCTTTCTCTCTCTCTGTTGAGTTCTTGAGTACCTGTTACCTTGCTGGGCTGCTTTCAAACTCTTAGGCCCAAGCCATTCTCTGTCTTCAGCCTGCAGTGTAGCTGGGACTCCAGGTACATGCCACCATGCACAGCCGAATTATATAGTATTTCTAAAGCAGCTACTATATGCAGCTGTTGTAAATGCCACACAGGCACTTGAATACCTTCAGAAGAACAAATTAGAACATAGTGATAAGCAAGCAACTGGACATTTGCTACTGCTTACTGGATATGATATTTTACGATGCAGGAATATTTCGTAGTCATGCTATAAGGAAGACAAGCTAATCACTTATCTTAGGTATTTCTACCATACAAAGCTTCCCCACATCTAGAAGCAATTAACCTACAAATGTGTGATATTTAGGAGCAGGAGCTCTTGTTTCAAGGATATGGGGCAGAAGATATGGAGAAGCACATCCCTGGCCCTGAGCAGTGTTAGTTGCAGTGTTTAGGCCTGCAGGCTGAGCTCTGGATCCTGAAGGGCAGAAAGGCTCTTGAGCTTGATAGAATAACTTTTTGTAGGCCTGTGATATATGGGATCCTTAGGGTCAAGGCCCAGGGCAGGGTATCCTGTTGGGGACCAAGCTATGTGAGGAAAATGTTGGCTATGTAATTTAGGTCTTGCAGTCTCAAGGCTGGTGTGCCCTGCTTTAGGAATAGGGAAATATGCAGACGGGTGGATGCTTCCTGGCTGTGTGAGGAAAGCTGATAATCACAGCACTCCTGAGGCAAGATAGCATCTGCTGAGGACATGTAAGAAAATGCAGGAATCCAGGTATGGGGAAGAACCTAGTCCACATTAACTTGTTGCTTTTGTGAGGTTTAACTTGTTCCTCTTTTTTTTTTGCCCCTTTCTTACAGCAGTCACTGTTCCAGGAAAAGTACATTCCCCTTCCCGGAGCTTCTTGCTGGCCAAAAAGTGTGTCAACCACAGAGATTGTTGAGCTTGTCCACTAGAGGCAGACTCATCCTGGTCCCCTTATACCTTGAATTTTGTCTCTGTTTTCTTTTATTCCCCATCGTCCCCCTACAGATACCCGAGGGTCTAATCAGCCCACAGCAGGATCCTCCTGCCTACGTCTAAGGATCATCCTGGGTGCATGGAAGCTGTCATCATTATTGGAGAATCATCTATGGAGACCTCCATTGTGAACAGAGGCCCATTACTCATGGGCCGCATCCCTAAAATTGCGCTCTGCACTGGCTCCAAAATGACTTGCTCCAGTATAGTCTCCTTGGAGAGCCAATAGCTTACAAACAAGATTAGCTATTATTTTATGCTCGATTGTATTTCAAAGATAATACATGTTTAAGTTGCTTTTCTGACTATTGCCATCCTGCTTGTGTGAATTTTTCTATCAATGGAAAGTCAGTGTGCTGAGAAAAGGCATTGCTGGATGCACAGGTCCAAGGGCAAGTCCAGCTCCAGATACGAAGATTTTCACCAGTCACTTTAGGTCTTTTCAAGCCAAACTGTTGCAGTTCTGAAACACACACTCTCTCTCTCTGTCTCTCTCTTGCTAACTTTTGAGCTGATTCTCCCTATATCACTTATTCGCTTTTAAATTCTTTTTTTTTTTTTTTTGGCAGTGCTGGGGATTGAACCACATGCTAGGCAAACGCTCTACCACTGAGTCACATTCTCAGCCCCCTCTCTTATTTTCAAAGCCTGAGGACAGCTAGTGACAGCAACAAACCTAGAAAAGGACAGGAAAGGCCCCACAGGCTCTTCTTCTCCTTGCATTTGGCATGTAGGAGATTTTGGAAACTCTAGTTCAAAGGCCCCTAATACAGCCTCAAAAAATATTTCTTTGCACCATCTCCTAAAGGATCAGTGATGACACAGGGTTGATGTCACAATTGCCTTGGTGGATCTGACTCAAATCAACCCTTCAGAGTTAGACTTTATTGATCATGCAGAAAATAAATACGTAAGTGTAATACTTCAGCCTTCTACAGTGTTGCTGTAAATATGTCTTTAAGGAAAATAAATTCAAAACTAAAACAAGCTATTTGTAATGTGAAAAAACCCTTAGAAGGAAGTATATCAGAGTTATTGTCAATTTTCCCTAAGGCAATTGAGAGAAACAATGGCAGAGAAGGACTCACGTGATTGGGTTACCCCCAAGCCAAAGATGGGTACACAGGGACAGCAGGAGGGGGCATCAGACTCCCTCTGCTCTCCAGAGTCCTCTCTTTTCACCTCACCTGAGTCCTCTCTACCAACACCAGGGGTTGCTGTGGCTGTGGCAGCTATGGCAGCGGCTGTGGCTGCTGCAGCACCCCTATGGTCATCTGCTGCCACCACACCTTCTGTGGCTCCCATGGCTGCGGCTCCCGTGGCCATGACTGTGGGAAGGGCTGTTACCAGCAGAAGAGCTGCTACCAGAACCAGTGCTGCGGCTTGGCGGCCACCCAGCCTTTCTTCCTGGGCAGGTGCTGCTGGGAGCCAAGCTCCTTCATGTGCTTAGGCCTTCACACATTCTGTACTTTAATTGCTTCAGGTTCCCCTAGTATTGAGCCATGGAATTTAAAAGAAATACAGCCAACTAGAAATCAGAGGACCACATTCAAGTCCAGGCTCTGCCAAAGAGGCTTGACCACGAGTAAGTCGATCAGCCTCCGTGAGTCTTGCTTATTTGTCTAT